ACACAGGAATAAATGACAAAACTTGTTACCAAAATGTAGGAGGGAAGTTCTATTCTCCCCACCCCACCCCTTTTTAAAAAAAAATTTGGACCTAGTATGCATGACTTCTATTAAAGGGCATGTTAACCTTCTTTATCATCCTCCATATGACACTGGTAAACATAATTTGCATGAAGTCCTGTTTGGAGATAGCTGACTGATAGTAGAATTTTCCTTTTTCTAAAATGTATAGTCAGCTGAGTTTCTACTTGGGTATGTACAACCACCACTGTGATCAGCAGATAAAACCTTACCACACCTTAAGAATTCTCTCCTGGCCTTTTGTACCTGGCTAGATCTTTAACTAGTTAAAATGTATTTTATGCTAAGAAACCTTTGACCTGGAATAGTTGGTAATGTCATATTTCATATTTTAAAAGGAGATTACCCAAAAGAAAAGGAGAGATATGGAGAAGAAGATAGGACCTAGTGGTATTGGATTGGGTTGTAGATCTTATCCCTGATCTTCAAAAGTTGATGTTTCTGTTTACTATATACAAGGCCTAGAAACAGTGACATTATTTTACTAGCCCACCCAGTACCCAGGTTTTGGTTCCTAACTAACCATTCTTCATTATAATGGTTGGCTCCAGGGTGGAGGTTAGAAAAAGACAAATTGAATCTGACACATCTTGTACCATACATCTAGGCACTTGCTGGAAGCATTTTGGAGGGTAGGGAGGGCGCTGTCAAAAGGAACAAGAATCAGCTTGTACAGGCTGCTTTGGGGGAGCTTTGGGCAATGTACTCATAAAGAACAGTCATGGTCGTAAATTTCAAAACTGAACGAGAAAAGGATGTGATATTTATAAAGGAGAAAGGGAAATGGAGATGATATTGGACAAAAAAGGAAAACTTTTGTTTATAGAAGGGTATCAGTTATATAAAAGTAGATGCAAAGCCAGGCAAGTTGGTGCATACCTATAATCCCAGCTCTCAGGAGGCTGAAGCAGTAGTATCATGAGTTCTAGGCCAGCTTGGGTTACATAATGAGATTGGAACAATAAGATTGGAAATTCATAATATTTAAATCCTCTGTTAGACTATAAAGCTAGTGATAATAGCTACATAGTGTACAGTTTATTTTAAATGCTAAAGGCTATGTTTGAAAGCTACAATACCTACTGTCTTTAGCATCTCCATCTAGTGGGATGTCAAGCATAAAGGATGACCCACTGTAACATAATAACACTACATAACACTCTGTGGTACCGTTACCAAAAAATGCGTAGTGTGGCCCTAAACACAATACATAATAGAGGAATATTAGACTAGGAAATGAGGAAAGCTATAAATGCTTTGTAAAAAATATGGAACTATGTCTGAATACTAGAGTACATTATTAAATTGATACTCCTTTTTTTTTTTTTTTGGGGCCAGTCATGAGTCTTGAACCCAGGACCTAGATGCTATATTTTGCTCAACGCCAGCGCTCTACCACTTTTATCCACAGCTCCACTTCTGGTTTTTTGATGATTAATTGTAGATAAGAGTTTCACAGACTTTCCTGCATAGGCTGGCTTTGAACCCATGAACCTCAGATTTCAGCCTCTTGAGTAGCTAGGATTATAGGTGTAAGCTACTAGCACCAGGTGGTGAACAAGCTTATTCCTAAAGAGATGCTAGCAATTTCCCAGCACCAGGTGATCTGATTCATAGGTAGTCAGTAATCAGGAAATGTCCTTAACTGGGAAAAGTTTTCCTGGACACATTGTAGTTTGCCTTTTTTTTTTTTTTTGGCCGGTTGTGGGGCTTGAATTCTGGGTCTGGGTATTGTCCTTGAACTCTTCAGCTCAAGGCTAGCCCTCTACCTCTTTAAGCCACAGCTCCACTTCTGGTTTTCTGGTGGTTAATTGGAGATAAGAGTCTCATGGACTTGCCTGCCTGGGTTGGCTTTGGACTGCGATCATCAGATCTCAGCCCCCTGAGTAGCTAGTATTATAGGCGTGAGCAGTGCCTGGCTTGGTTTGCTTTTCTTGAAAGGCAATTAGGACATAATCCTGGTGTTTAAGTGGATGACAGTTATAGCTCCTCAAAGCCAAATCTGTATGTATTTCTTAGAGATTCTTGTGAAATTGTCCTGCAGTTCAGATTCAAGTTGGTATTTGTTTGGGAATGAAAGGTTTGGTACCAGATTTGGTTGTTGTTATGGTAGCAGAAGCCAGGCCTTTAGTCCTCCAGAGGTGCTGTGTTTTGTTCTTGTTTTATTCACTTTCAGTAAAATTTAATTCTGTTCCTTCATGGTGCTTACCATAAGACCCAAGCAGGGCCTTTTACCTTTGTAAGACCTGATGGCACCTTAAGAGGAACTGTATCTGGGTTTATTGTTAACTCACATACATTTCCACTCTGCAGTCTTTACTAGAGTGCTGTTTGGAATAAGTGATATCTTTTCCCAATTTTCAGTTAAAAGCAGTATATTAGGAAAGCTTACTTTCTTGCTTCTAATCTAACAGAATTCCTTTCAAAGAACACTTGTAAACAATACCATCAATTCCTTAAGTATTTGTGGGTTCTGGGGATAAGTTGGTGCTAGGTTAGAGTCCTAGCCTTAAAGCTGGGATAGGCAGGTTAGCATGGAAGGAGCCATTAGAGGCCAAGGGTCATATGGAACCTGAGCCAAAGGATATGAGACTCAGTGAAGTAAATCCTATGTATGAATCAGTTGCACAGCCTGTCAGAATGGCTGTTTAGATTGAGGGTAGCTTCTGATTAAGGGTCCCAGTGATCCTTTTAGATCAAGGCAGAAGGACACAGACATCATTTCCCCTGACCTTTACCTCTGTCCCTCTCTGTACCTTCCTCTAAAGAAAAGTAGCCCCAGTTCTCTAGGGGACCTTGGGTCTGTCCTATGGCTCTTATTTTGGACCTGTCTTCTCTCTGCCTGGAATCCTCATATAGCTCATAGTGGATGGGCAAAGTGCTTGTCATTCTTGAAGGTGAACTTAGCAACTGCCCTCAGCTCCACAATGTCTTCACCTGCATTCTGATCTTTGTAGATGACCACCATTAATGTCTTCTTCACACAACAAGAAACCCCTCAAGGCCCCAGGTAGTTTTTAGTCACGCTTGTGTTGAGCATATACCCAATTAATGTTAGTCAAGTGACAAAGTGATAAATGCCATCTCTGATGGAAAAGGGGTAATCTGATTCAGCCAGGCCACTGTCAACAATTACAGAGCCCATCCTGACTGCTGGGTACTACCAACCTGTGCAGATGTACTCCTGCACAGGTGAGCATGTGAGGCTGGCACACAGAGTTCTTCCAGCTCAGCTTAGGAGACTTTCTGTTATCACCCAGTTAGAGGAACCCAAGATACTGGCCAGTGAGCTCTGTAGAATGCTGTAGGTCTTTCCATTCTGGTTAAGCTATAAAATCCTTGTTTGGAATGGTATTGAGTTCAAGGTCAAGACTGAAGTCTGAGTAGTAGAAGAGCCAGTCTTCACTCTAGGTGCAATTCTAAATTCATGTTACATTTCCCTAAGGATGTGACACTTAAAACCTGACACTATAATAAATTGATGTTATTTGGATCATTCAAGATGGCGCCCATTCCAAACGACATGCTGACTATCCTCTAGCCTTGCGGTGTATTCCTAAAAATTTGTGTTTGAGGGAATTTTATAAGTCTAACAACATTTTCTCTTTGATATACATTCCCTCTTTAGATGACCTCTACTACTTTAAATGGCTCCAGGCCCCTCTGGCAGATACTGTAGCTGGGTGATTGGTGAAAAGCATGCTCCATGTGAGTGGTCGTTGGCAGTGCAGCCAGTTGGTACCATATGGCTTTCCTCTGTCTTAAAGTTGCCATCCTGCCTGCTGTCAGTTGGCTTCACTGCATGGTTATAAAACAGGCAGAAGAGCATTTGTGACAATGGAGTCATGACTCTTAATCTGGCCCAGAAGGAGGAGCACTGGGCTCAGGACTTTGCAAACAGCTGCTTGTCCTTTGACCAAAGTTACTTCCAGTCCAGTTCTAGTTTCACTGGGAAAGAACTTGATGTCAGACAGCTCAGAAGGGTGGATGCTGGGTTTCTGACTTGCTGGCCAGGCCACTGACAAGGTTGTCTGGGGCATTTAAGGATTTGAGTATCCAGCAGTTCCCCAGCCCTGCAAACAGAAGGAACCAGTTTCGTGATGTTTTATATTTTGTGAAAAATGGTGATTAAGTTCTCATGCTAGCCCATAAAGATGCTGTACGTTTCCAGAAAGAACGGCAAAATCATTGAGTCGCTAAATTATTTATCAAGTCAAGAAGAATTACTTGAAGTCGAATTGACAATATTTGAAGATGTGGGTAGGGAATTAAATGGGGAGTTGGCCCCTTAAAAGTGCCACAGAATTACTTTTAGGTATTATTTATGATTAAGCAAAATATTAACATACTGCTACTTTGTAACTAATAGCGTTTGCCTCCATGCATCTAGATCACTAATATAATTTTAATACATAGAATTTATGACAGGGTGGGTTTTGACTCCCAAAATGAAATGGCAAGAGGGAGAGAGATGTTTTTCTGTGACAACAAATAAGAATTTGAAAGGAAGAGGAGGAGTAGGAAGAGGAGGAAAGAAACATCACAGGTGTACACTAATGATTAGTAAGGAATGCAGGAGCTCAGCAGGAAAGAGGGAAGCCCAAATACCCCAATGGCCACTACCCCCAAGGGGAAAGGTGGCCATTGTAGGGACTGGTGTTGGGGTGCTGACACTGAGCACAAGGGTCCCCCAAGCCCCACCTAGAGTTGCCTGGGAGCAGAGCTGCAGAAGGGGAGGATGGAGAACCCTGGCTGTGTGCCATAGGAGATCTTTGTAGACGGGGGCTCTTTTCTTCCAGGTGTGCCTGCATTCACTCATGTGCTGTATGTCTACAGAAAAGACTGTTAAGCTGTCAAATAGTGAACTACCTCGGTAGTTCCCGATGCCGTGATCATGGTTTTGGTCTCGTTTCTTTTAGGTTACCCCTGTTTCAGGCCAGTGCTTTTGCATTTTTGGCCCCTGCTCGAGCCATCCTGTCTTTAGATAAATGGAAATGTAACACCACAGGTAATTGCAGTTATTTCCACATATGTCATGGGGGTCCTTTAATGCAGGTGATTTGTAAAAGGGAGGTCTGGACATGCTGGCCCAGCAACGTTCACTCCTGGAAGTAGGCACAGAACACACCAGCCCATAAACAGCTCCAATCTGTGGATCGTGTCTGTCTCTCTCTATCTCTATCCACTCATTCATCCCTAATCCTAGAGCAAATAAGGATCAGAAGTTACCTCATTTCTCCATGCTAATGAAATTGATAAATGTGGGAACAGAATAGAAAGAAAAATGTTTGTGCTATTTTCCTGCCTCTCTCTTTCAGTGGATTTTAGGACCCACCAGTAATCACTCTTGCTGCGTCAGCATCCTTTCTCTGAGACATCTTTGCTTTTTTAAGGATCTGGCTACTGTGGTTTTCTGCAAATGACTTTTATTCCCCTTCCTCAGTGATTGCAAAGATCCTTCAGGCACCTGATTAGGTTAGGGACAGATAGGAAATTGGAGAAAATCAAAAGTCTGACTGTCGTCCTCTCAAAAGGTTCTAGGAGCCAAGCTTTCCAGCCTTCATTTCCTTCCTTGCTCCTAGGAGTTACTTTGTGACCATATTTGGGGAACTGGAAAAGGCCCTTCATTTTATCTTGGTTTTTACAACCTCAGTCCAGCAACCTTGTTGTCAGACATTTCAGTTTGCTGCTTGCAAAGGTTGGTTTTCTGCGTGAAGCTGGTAATGAATGGGTAGCACCATATCAGTCAGGTTTTAATATGTTCGGGAGCTCTCAGTCAGTAGATTTGGTTTAAAACTAGGGCTGGGGAGTTCACCTGACAGGATGATGAACCCTACTTTGTGTAGGATGAATTTGAGAGATGGGTAAAAAGATTCTTAAGACAGGGAGGAAATCTTCTTAACGGGTAAGATGACTGTGTCCTATGAAACATCAGTATCACTACAAGAAAAACTTTGTTTTGTTTTTGTTTTCAAGATGTTTCAGTTGTCAATGGAACGACAAAGATGCTGCAGCTAGAAGACAGCTGGTATCCCCGGATCCGTGAGGTAAAGGATGGTCATTTCCTCCTTTCTTGACTGCTTTGTGTTTCTGGGGCTTCAAGACTGGTGGTGCCAAAGAAATTGGGGTTGTGTTTACTGCAGCTTTCTTTCTGTTTTCGAGTACTGAAATGTTTATTTCTACTGTTCAGCTAAACCACCAGACTATGTGGTTCTTTTCTTCCTGCAGGTCCCCAGACCTGTTCACTCACACCCTCCAACCTAACTAGCTTGTAGCTTATAGCTCACTTGGAAGAGCTGAAAGGCTTGTTGACAGGCAAAAGAATTGGTCCTAGAGCTGCAGCATTTGCCTGAGTTTGTTGAAAGAACTAGAAAGATATTTGCTAAAGTGGACTTGAGTAAGGCCAGTGGGTAGCAGTCCCCATCACAAAGAATAGCTCATGATTCTTAGATCTCAGCCTCTTGAGCAGCTAGGATTACAAGCTGTCAGCTCCTGGCCTGTTGTTGTTATTATTCTATGCTGGTCCTGGGGCTTGAATTCAGAACTGGGGTTCTGTCCCTGAGCTTTTGTGCTCAAGGCTACCACTCTACCACTTGAGCCATAGCTCCATTTCCAGCTGCTGCTTTTTTTTTTTTGGTCAGTTGTGGGGCTTGAATTTAGGGCCTGGGTGCTGTCGCTGAGGTTTTTCTCTCAAAAGTAGTGCTCTACCACTTTGAGCCACAGTTCTACCTTGGTGTTTTTTGTTTTTTTTTGATAGTTAATTAGAAATAACAGTCACGGACTTTCCTGCTTCCAGCTAGCTTTGAACTGCAGTGCCCACATCTCAGGCTCCTGAGTAGCTAGAATTACAGGTGTGAGCCACTAGTACCTGGCCACTTCCAGCTTTGTGGTGATTAATTAGAGCTAAGAGTCTCATGGATTTTTCCTTCCCCCAGGCTGGCTTTGAAACATGATCCTCCGATCTCAGCCTCCTGCATAACTAGGATTATACATGTGAACATTGGTACAGTCTTGAATGTATCCTGGAACTTCAATTCTATTTATGTATGTTTCCTATGTACCTGGGATGATAGACATACACCATCATGTCTAGGTTTTGTTGTTGGAAATTGGGTCTCCTGAACTTTTTGCCTAAGCTGGCCTTGAACCACAGTCTTCATGGCCTCCCAAGTAGCTAGGATTACAGGAATGAGACATTGTGCCAACGTCTTTGTTTCAGTGACATTTTTAAATGGTTTCCAGAAACTGAGAGCCCATTACTCATGCCTATAATCCTAGCTACTCAGGAGGTTGAGATCTTGAGGATCATGGTTCAAGCCAGCCTGGGCAGAAAAGTCCCCTTGAGACTCTTTATCTCCAATTAACCACTCAAAACTGGAAGTGGAGCTGTGGCTCAAGTGGCAGAGTGCTAGCCTCAGGGACAACACCCAGGCTCTGAGTTCAAGCTCCATGACCAACCAAAATAAAAAGAACAAAAATTTAAAAATAAATGGTTTCCAGGCTGAGATTTGAGGATTGTGGTTCAAAGGCAACCCGGGCAGGAAAGTCCAGGAGACTCTTATCTTCAACTAATCACCAGAAAACTGGAAGTGACGCTTTGGCTCAAGGTGTTAGAACATTAGCCTTGAGCAAAAGAGATCAAGGACAGCACCCAGGCCCTGAGTTAAACCCTATAACTGACCAAAAAAAAAAAGGCTTCCAGGAGCTAATTCCTTAACACCAGGTCTTTGTACTACAGTGTTTCCTGTAAGTCTGGCTTGGAACTACCATATTTCTTTCTAATTTTGGCAGTGCTAAGGTTTAAACTCAGAGCCTTAACACTTGCTAGATACTCTTGCCACTGAGCCACACCACCAAGAGGAAATGCTTTTTTTTTTTTCTTAAAGGAGAATTCTAAGTTTTTGTCTGTCTCATTTATTGGTGGAAAGGGCAGGCTACCTTTATGTTCAGTGCCCATTTCAGTATTTCTCTTACATTAACAACACTGGGCCTCAGTTACCTCTACTGAAACCTTTGTGGGGACCAGGAGAGACTTTCAGCTCTTGAGCTTGCTGTCTAACTTGGGGTTACAGATGACATTTGGAGTATATGACATCCAAGCAGCTCACCTCATGTCTGTGCCATCTCTTATTTCAGATCCAGGGGGCCATCATCATGTCCTCATTGATAGAAGTGGTCATCGGCCTCCTCGGCTTGCCTGGGGTCCTGCTGAGATACATTGGGCCCCTGACCATCACACCCACTGTGGCCCTCATTGGCCTCTCTGGTTTCCAAGCAGCGGGAGAGAGAGCGGGGAAGCACTGGGGCATCGCCATGCTGTAAGTGTCCTGGGAGTATCTAGAGGGGACAGAGTGGGCCCCACCCTCCTATCCTCCTCCCCCCTCCCCCCCCACCGCCATCGTGGGGCAGCCTTATGCAACATCATTTGGACAGTTACACCAAGAGACATAATTTCATGTAATTCATGCTAGAGAATAGTCGGAGGATTTTTTATTTATTTATTTTTGGTGAAGGAGAGGACATAGAGGCTTGGGAAGTGACTCACAGTCAAGTTATTCCAGAGGCGAATTTAGCAGTGACGTGTAGAGTGAAGATTGGATGGTTTTTGTTTTTGGTCAGTCATGGGGCCTGAACTCTGGGCCTGGGCGCTGTCCCTCAGCTTCTCAGCTCAAGGCTAGTGCTCTACTACTTGAGCCACAGCACTACTTCCCACTTTTTCTGCTTATGTGGTGCTGAGGAATTGAACCCAGAGCCTCATGCATGCAAGGCAAACACTCTACCACTGAGCCACCATCTCAGCCCCAGATTGGATAGCTTTAAGCTTTGTTAATGGGATACAACTGTGGTGTCATCAGCTCTGGAGTTTTTGAAGTCATGCTAAGTCTTGTGCACATGAGTTGAAATACTAAGAAGCTACATTACTTAGATGGGATTCAAAGAAATTTCCAGACTGGTAAAAAGTAAAGATGCTCTCAGAAGGTGTGTTTTCACTGATGGTGTGACCTGGCTCTCTAAGCCAGAAGAGCTCTGTCAATACATGTTACTCAGCCCTGATCCTTTTACATAGAATATCAAGTTCATTAAACATAACAATGTCTTATATTAGTGAAGAAATATAGGTATTAGTGGGGAAATACAGGACTTTGATAATCTTTTTGTGTGTGCCAGTCCTGGAACTTCTTGAACTCAGGGTCTGGGCACTTACTTGTTTTTAGCTCCCCCCACCTCCCAAGGCCGGCTCTACTACTACCTGTGGTGCTCTAACCACAAGTTCTCTCTCTCTCTCTTTTTTTTTTTTAATGGTATGGTTGATTGGAGAAAGAGTATCTTGGACCTTCCTGCCCCCAGGGTGGCTTTAAACTATCATCCTCAGATACCAATCTCCTGATAGCTGAGGGGTGTAAGTAGGAATACAGGCGTGAGCTACCAGAGCCTGTCTACCAACAAGTAAACTTTCTAAAAGAATATAATAACATTAGAAAATAATGCAGATAACATTCATTGACTTTTTTTCTGTGCATCAGGGGGTTACAGTAATTAAACATCATCACAAATTAAGGTATGTGAACATATCAAAGATATATCATTAAAGGTTGGTCACACTTTCTCTAACCAGCATGGCCATGTAGTTGACATAATATTTCTTCAGGGAAATTCAGTAAATACCAAAAGAGGAAGTATTGTATTTACAAAACAGAAGCCTATAACAAAAGCACAAAACAAAAAAAGGAACCTGACCCACTTAGCTTAAAAAAAAAGTGTTAAAAGTAACTCCTAGTTCAAAAGGAAATTGAAATTTCAGAATTACAAATAATTTAGTGAACGATGACATTAACAGCACAAACCACATTTAGAGCACTCTGGGTTGTTCTCAAGAAATTCATAACCTTAAGCCAGGCACCAGTGGCTCATGCCTGTAATCCTAGCTACTCAGGAGGCTAAGATCTGAGGATCGAGGTTCAAAGCCAGCCAGCCCGGGAGGAAAGTCCATGAGACTCTTATCTCCAATTAACCACCAGAAAACTGGAAATGGTGCTGTGGCTCAAGTGGTAGAGTGCCTACCTTGAGCTGAAGAGCTGAGGGACGGTGCCCAGGCCAATTCCAAGCTTCATGGCTGATACTACACTCCCCACCTCCCCAAAAAAATCATAGCCTTTAAGGCAAATAAAGTACATGGAACATTTATCTTTAAAGCTAGAAAAAATGAGCATAACAAGGCTCATGCCTGTAATCGTAGAGGCTGAAATGTGAGAATCATGGTTCAAAGCTAGTCTAGGCAAAAAATGCTAGCTAGCCACCAAAAAGCCAGGAAAGGATTTTGTAGCTCAAGTTATAGAGCACCAGCCTTGAGCAAAATAAGCTGAAAGACAGCACCCAGGTTCTGAGTTCAAGCCACAGGATCGGCACAATTAAAAAAAAAAAAGAAGAAGATGCTGACTAGAAAGGCTTTATTTATTTATTTATATTTTTGGTCCGGTCGTGGGGCCTGAACTCTGGGCCTGGGCACTGTCCCTCAGCTCTTCAGCTCAAGGCTAGCACTCTACCACTTGAGCCATAGTGCCACTTTCGGCTTTTTTCTTTTTGCTTATGTGGTGCTGGGGAATCAAACCCAGGGCCTCAGGCATGCAAGGCAAGCACTCTACCACTGAGCCACCTTCCCAGCCCCTAGAAAGGCTTTAGAGTAATGTGAGGATACACAAACCTCAGAAGATTAATGCTCACTGTAAGTAAGTCAGAAAATAAAGTAGCAAATGAACAGACACAAATTGTATCATTCAGAGCTAATTCCTGTGTGCCTTTGGGACATGGCCTTCTTACCTGTTGGTGTGTGTGTGTGAACATGTACATACAGTATCTGAGTGTTTATAGTTAATTCATAGTTGTACTATATCATATGGCACGTTGTGTCTGGCAGATACATTGTGATCTTTGTACATACTTCGGATTTTCTTACTCTATTTAGGAACACTTTGGCAATGCATTAATATTGTGGTTTCACTTCACCATTAAGAAATATTAGGGGGGCTGGGAAGATGGCTCAGTGGTAGAGCGCTTGCCTTGCATGCCTGAGGCCCTGGGTTCGATTCCTCAGCACCACATAAGCAAAAAGAAAAAAACTGGAAGTGGCGCTGTGGCTCAAGTGGTAGAGTGCTAGCCTTGAGCTGAAGAGTTGAGGGACAGCGCCCAGGCCCAGAGTTCAGGCCCCACGACTGGACCCAAAAAAAAAAAAAGAAAGAAATCTTAGGTCAGCCAGGTGCCAGTGGCTCATACCTGTAATCCTAGCTACTCAGGAGGCTGAGAACTGAGGATCGAGGTTCAAAGCCAGCCCCGGCAGGAAAACCAGAAGTGGCGCTGTGCCTAAAGTGGTAGGGCACTGGCCTTGAGCTGAAGAGCTGAGGAACAGCTCCCAGGCCTAGAATTGAAGCCCTACAACTGACCCAAAAAAAATAGAAAGAAAAGAGATATTAGGTCAGTGAGGTATACTACATCTTCCCCTAAATGGCATTTCTAAGAAATAAAATGGCCATATCCTAGCTAAGAGGATTAGCATCTCTCTGGGTATATGAATTGTCCACAGGCAGTCAGTGCTAACATAGAAACTTTTGAGTCTTTGAAAAAAACACAGCTGCAACAACCTTTAACTTCATTTCTTCTTTCCTTCTCAGGACAATTTTCTTAGTGTTGCTGTTTTCTCAGTATGCCAGGAATGTTAAATTTCCTCTCCCAATTTATAAATCTAAGAAAGGGTGGACTGCATACAAGTTACAGCTTTTCAAAATGTTCCCTGTGAGTATGACTTCCTACCCTCACTCTCCTCTCCCTGGTGCTATTGTCTTTTCTTCAGAGCTAAGGTATTAGATGAAGGACAGGCTGGGACACCCACATCTGTGGGGTGACATTGGGGTACTTATTACCTCCCCAGGCATCATGGCTTTAAGATTTAGAAGCTGTATAAAGTTCACCTCTGAAACTGGAGCCCCCAGCTGGCCTGTGCAGGCATAAAGTCCATTCTTGTTTTCCTAGCCAGACTCTGGAAGGGCAGCTTGAATTGCCCTGCATAAAATTGCTTCTAGTACAGTTCTTATCAAAGAGTAGGTCTGCAGAATAGTGATCATCTCGGGTTCTGGGGGGATGGAGGGGGTGGGGTTGTGACACTACAGGAAAGGAAGGTTGTGTATGTCCAGTAGCCTCTGGCTCTGCCAAAAAGCTTTGCTTGACAGAGCTTCTCTCCTTGACCACTTCAGATCATCCTGGCCATCCTGGTGTCCTGGCTGCTCTGCTTCATCTTTACAGTGACTGATGTATTCCCACCTGACAGCACCAAGTATGGCTTCTATGCCCGCACCGATGCCAGACAGGGTGTGCTTCTGGTAGCCCCCTGGTTTAAGGTTCCATATCCATGTAAGTATCTGGGTGACTAAAGGGCTCCAGAGTCCGGGAGGTCCCTATTTAGAGGGGTTGGAAGTAGCATGAAACACTTTTCTTTTTTCCAAAACATCTAAAGGTCTGGCAGTTTTGGTGATTAGAAGATTAGACAGTGAAAAAAGGAAAACTTTTCCCCCAGAGAATGGTCATCAGAACACAAGTACTAACCAGCTTCCTTCTTAGGTTAATTGCTTGGCTTTCTACCTCTGCTAAGATTTAAATCCTTGGCAAGTTTGGCCTTTAGTAGCCAAGATTTGAGGGCAAGGATGAAACTGCTTGGTTCCAAAATGAGCCACCCGAATCACAATATTTGAGTAGGAGAGGCCTGGAGATTAGGAAGCAAACGGCTCACACATGATAGGATTTATGTAATCTTTTAATGGGCAGCCATAATCTTTTTAATTTGGTCACAGCTGCGGAGGTAAACCAATACTTACAAGCACCGGAAGATGGATCTTAAGTTTTAGTTAAGAGTGTTGGGTGACTCATGGGGGCAGAGCATATGATCTCCCACTGGAGTATCACCTGGAGTCACGTGTAGTGTTTTCTAGACCCCAACCCTCGAAGTCAGACTCATGAGCCCAGCGTCATTACCTGTTTAGTTGTTGTATTGCTTCCACCATTTTGAGTTTGTATTAGAACAAAGCCTGGGCTTAGTCAGATTAAACCGATTTATTTATCTAGTCTTTTGTATTTTATAAAGAAACAAAGGGGAAAAGCAAGAGAAGCCAAGAATAATTAAAGTTAGGTCAAACTGCTCTAAGCATGTTGAATAATGACAGTGCTGGCATTGGTCCTTTTTATTCTTGATACATTCTCAAAAGCTTTAAAGTCTAGTCTTTCTAACATAACATTCTCATCAGATCACATGAGGCTAATTGTATATTTATACATACCTATCTTGTTTCCACAAAAGAATGTACATGGTTCATAAACATACCTCTAATCCTAGATAAAATGAGATTAAAAACTACTTGGTGAGGCTGTTGGGAGGCAGTGGGGGAGGGCAGGTGTGATGCTGCTGCCCAAGCACATGCAGGTAGCCTCTGCCTGTACAGGCAGCTCCCCAGGCCAGGGGCCAATAGGAGCAGGAGGCAGAGCAGGCATTCCTGTTTCAGGACTAAAGATTCCTCAGGTGTGACAGGGTGAGTGGTGTAACTATGATGATGAATGAGTACAGGGCAATTCTTCAGGTTAACCCCTTAGTGGCTGAGCACTGGTAAATTACCAGAGATCCCCTGGATATAGAGCAACCTCCAGAGACCTAGAATGAGTCTCTCCAGTGATTCAGATTAATCCAGAGACAGGTTTTATTTCATGTTAGGAGCCTTCAGTGTAGAAAGAATTAGCTGGATTGGCAGTTAATATATTTCTGTCTGGTCCAAAGTGACAACAGAGTCAAGGTTGAAAAGTTCTGTTGTAACAAACAAATTTTAGTTTAAAAAGGTGAAATACGATAGCTTTAAGACAAGGTTGGAAGCCATCAAGTTACTTGTGAGTGTGTGAGTGTGTGTGTGTGAGTGTGTGTGTGTGTGTGTGTGTGTAAAGAGTATTAAAAATTAAAAGATTATGAGGCTGGAAATTTGGCTTAGTGATAGAGTGCTTGCCTAGCATGCATGAAGCCCTGGGTTCCATTCCTCAGTATCATATAAACAGAAAAGGCCAGAAATTGGGCTGTGGCTCAAATAGTAGAGTGCTAGCCTTGAAGAAGAAGCTTAGGGACAGTGCCCAAGCCCTGAGTTCAAATCCTAAGAATGGCAAAATAATAATAATATTATTATCTAAATTTGTAATAGAATAAAATTTTTAGGAATTAGAGTTAAGGACCTCAGGTAAAAAGAAAATCATAAGGGTGAAGAGATTGAGAAATTGAAAAACTTTCTGAAAATAGCACTGGTGGACTGTCCCCTTTTCCAGAATGATTGGAACAGTAGTGTTTGGATTTCTGATTTTTTTTGGGGGGGGGTGGGGAGGAAAGAGTGGCTGTCATGTCAGGGCTTGGATGCTGTGAGGCTTTTTGCTCAAGGCTAGCACTCTACCACTTCAGCCATAGCTCCACTTCCAGCTTTTTTGGTGTATAATTTGAGATGAGTCTCATGGATGTTACTGCCCAGGCTGGGTTCAAATAGTGATCCTCAGATTTCAGCCTCCTGAGTAGCTAGGATTACAGGCATGAGCCACCAATACCCAGCTGGATTTTGGATTAAAAAAAAAAGAAATACATAATGAAATTTATTGGGGATGGAACCCACGTCTAACCACAAAGTACATTTATATTTCTCTGACACCTTATACCACAGCCTGAAGAATATTTGTGCTGTGTTTTAGTGCCCTGCATTTAACTAATTACTTGAGGTCAAGTTTAGAAATTTTATGGTGCCCAGATGGTTCTTAAAACATTAGATTTTGGAGCATTTCAGCTTTTCAGATTAGAGAAGTTCAACTTGTAAATGACAGGATAAAATAGGAATCTCCCCTAAAAATCATGACAATGAAATGAAGTTGTAGTTCCACAGTGGTGATACAGAAACAGCATAAAGGATTATTTAGAAAATGCTCAAATGATACCAGGCACTAGTGGCACACACCTGTAATCCTAGCTACTCAGGAGGCTGAGATCTGAGGGTCCTGGTTCCAAGCCAAGCTGGGCAGGAAAGTCTGTGAGACTTTTATCTCCAGATAATAACAGAAAAAGGTTTGTGGTGCTGTACCTCAAGTGGTAGATCACTAGTCTTGAGCAAAAGGAGCTCAGGGACAGCGCCTAAGCCCAGAGTTCAAGGCCCAAGACCAGCCAAAAAAAAAAAAAAGCCCAAATATGACAGTTAAGAAAACCTTGAGCCAACCCTGAGAGGAAGTGCTGACCAAGCCTGTTACACACCTGCTTGGGAGCTGCACCTTGTACCCTTGACCTAGTGATCTCAATCTGCTCTGATTAATCTCACAGGGCAGGGCAGCCCCATGTGGGAGCAGTTCTACCTTCTTAGTACCCTTTCTGTTCCATCTTTTCCCAAGCTCATCCTTCCTCCCTGTTAGCTGTAACACAAAAGCCCTTCTAGGTACCTTCCATGCCCCACACATCCCCCTCTGCTGAGCTTTAGTTGTTCCTATACTGCATCCCTTCTTCATCCATCTCCCCCTCCCTCCCCCTTGCCTAGCAGTGCACTAACTGCCTCCCTTATACCTGGCTTGCCTTCATTTGAACTTGAACTGTCTATCCCTCTGTTGTTCCTGGTTCTCCTGGAGTGTATTGTACCCCAGGCTACAGGACTGATTTCTGCCTGAAAGACTGTTCCATCTAATTCCCCTTCCCCTCTCTCTCTGCTTCGTCTTCAGTAGGTATATTGTACCTAGTGGTTCAGAGAAGGGCCAGTGACTTTATCAAGGGAGACTGTTCATATTAACAGTGAATGGCAGATATACTTTTAAAGAAAAATATATCCAATTAATGATGGTACTCTTTTGTTTTAAAATATAAAATTCTCTGCCCTTCCCCCTCCCCCCCCCCCCCCCCCCCAATTCTGTGGCTTGAACTCTGGGGCTATACTCTGTCCCTGAGCTGTTTATTTTTTGCTTTTAGTTTTGCTTTTTTTTTTTTTTTTTTTTTTTCTGGTTGGTTATAAGGCTTGAACTCAGGACCTGGGTGCTGTCCCTGAGCACTACCATTTTGAGCCACAGCTCCATTTCCAGTTTTCTGGTAGGTAATTGGAGAGAACAGTCTCATGGACTTTTCCGGCCCAGGCTGTCTTTGAACCATGATCCTCTGATCTCAGCCTCCTGAAAAGCTGGGATTAGCAGCATGAGATACCAGCACCCAGCCTTAGTCCTGAGCTTTCATGCTCAAAACTATTGCTCTACCACTTGAGCCACAGCTCCACTTCCAGCTTTCTGTGGTTAATGAGATAGAGTCTCATGGACTTTTCTTCCTAAGCTGGCTTTGAACCATGATTTTCAGAGCTCAGCCTCCCAAATAACTAGGATTATAGGCTTGAGCCATCAGCACCTGGCAACTTTTTTTTTTTGTGACACTACTGGGGCTTGAACTCAATGTCTACAGTGTCCCTTAACCTTTTTTGTTCAAGGCTGGCACATTACCACTTGAGCTACATGTCTACTTCTGCCTTTTTGCTGGTTAATTGGAAATAAGAATCTCATAGACTTTCCTACCCAGGCTAGCTTTCAACTGTGATCCTCCTCTCAGCTGAGTAGCTAGGGTTATAGAGGTGTGAGCCACCAGCACAGGGCCATTTTTTATAACATGGTTTGTGGTTTACTTTTAAAAAGGCAGAGTGTGTGTGTGGGGGGGGGGGGAGGGCAGTAACATCGTTGGAATTTAGATTTAGCTAATGGTTTTTCATTGTGTTTTTATTTGGTGCTGTCACTTTGTACTGTATTCTCTATAGCAATGTCATAAATCGTCTTCAAATAAATTTCCTAACACAGCAGAGTATGTGGAATTGTTAAGACACTAAGCCTGATAAGGAGCATCTTCCACTTCCAACCAAGTGGCTGCTTTTTTTAGATAAAGATATAGAAAGGATCAGTCCTTTCCAGAGGCCTGACTCAGTAACTTTCCCAGACATCTGGTGCTTCAATGGCTGAGATTTCAAAACTAAATTTCCAGGAGCTTCAAAATCTAACCTGATCTTGCAGAGAGATAGAGATGTCTGAGGTGCTCCTAACTTCTGCCTTTCCCTCTAGGAGAGTAAACATGGTTTACTTTACTTTTCACGTTGTCTTCCCTCCTCAGTTCAGTGGGGACTGCCCACCGTGTCCGCTGCTGGTGTCATCGGCATGCTCAGCGCCGTCGTTGCCAGTATCATTGAATCCATCGGTGACTACTACGCCTGTGCCAGGCTCTCCTGTGCCCCACCGCCTCCTATCCATGCAATAAACAGGTATGATATGTCTCCTGGAAGCCCCATTCTTTATCCAGGCTATTAGTTTAGATAACCTAGGAATTTCAGTATGAAAGCTGCCACTGAGCAGGACTATTTATTGCCTGTTTGTCTTTGGGCAAATCATTGCTCTCTTTCACCCTCTTTCCCTCATCTGTAATATAAAACACAATTCCTGCCCTTCTTTCCAGTTGCTCAGACATTCTATGAAAATTACTTTAAACAGGCACTGGTGGCTCACTCCTATAATCCTAGCTACTCAGGAGGCTGAGATCTGAGGATCAAGGTTCAAAGCCAGCCCAGGCAGGAAAGTCCGTGAGACTCTTACCTCCAATAAACGACTCAAAAACCGGAAGTGGCACTGTGGCTAAGCGGTAGAGCACTCACCTTGAGCTGAAGAGCGCAGGGACAGTGCCCAGGCCCAGAGTTCAAGCCCCACGACTGACCAAAAAAAAAACAAAAACTTGAAACGTTAGCCAAGGGCTGGTGGCTCATGCCAGTAATCCTAGTTACTCAGGGGGCTGAGATCTGAGGATCATGCTTCAAAGCCAGTGCAGGCAGGAAAGTCAGTGAGACTCTTAATCTCCTGTTAACCCCCAAGAAACTGGAAGTGGTGCTGTGGCTCAAGCAGTAGAGTGCTAGCCTTGAGCAGAAGAGCTGAGGGACAGCTTCCAGACCCAGAGTTCAAGCCCTACAACTGACCCAAAAAAACCCTGACACTTACACAATAAATACAGGCACCTGCTCTTTTTCTTCCCGTGGTTTCCTGTCCTTATGATATATTTACTTTGATTTTTCTGTTGTCTTTGTTTTTCCATATAAACTCAAAGTTTAGGCACGGGAGTAAAACAATTCCTCATAGTTTACAAGGTTCTTTCTGAGTTGCAAATGTTCTTCCCCACCCCTATCCCATTCACTCCTGACACTAGGACAGACAAGAGATAAAAGAGCACTCTTTCTCACTTCTGTTGGGGAAACCTTAACAGCACACAGTAAATCACTCTGGTCTCTCAGATGCTTCAACTGTGTTTCAGGATAGATGTTGTGTGATCTGTGCACAATTACAGTGCATACAAATAGGAACAGAAGATTAGGAATAGATGACAGAAATGTATGAGCTTTGCTGTGAGTTCTATGCCCTCAAAACCCCGGTCTTTTTCTTCCTTTCCATCTCCCTCCCTTCCCCTCCTTTCCTTCCTCCCTCCCTTCCTTCCTTCCTTCTGCCATTCTTTCCTTCCGCCCTTCCCCACCCTCCCTTCTTCCTTCTGTGTGTGTGTATATACACGCACGCGCGCATGCGCACGTGCGTGTGTATGAATGCACACACCAATACTGGGGCCTGTAACTCAGGGCCTGGTGCTATCCGTTAGCTTATTTGCTCAAGGCTGGCACTCTGCCATTTGAGACACTCCATTTCTGGCTTTTTGTTGGTTAATTGGAGATAAGAATCTCAAACTTTTGTTCCCTGGTTGACTTAGAACTGGGATCTTCAGGTCTCAGCTCCTGAGTAGCTAGTATGATAGCTGTGAGCTAATAGTGCCTGAAAAAAACCTTTGGTCTTTAGTTTCTGGAAGTCAAGATGGGTAATAACCCTGTCAAGGCTGCAGAGTAGAGAAAATATCCTGCATCACCCCCAATTTTCCAGCTAGCAGCTCCCCCTCCAAAAGGGATTGTGTGGAATGAGGTTGATGGGCTTATTCTTACCTGACTTGCCTAGGTTTTGTCCAATGGCCTTCCACCCTGGTTTTCCACATTCTCTAATGAAACCTTTGCATATGACCTAACTACCTGTGCATGGACTTTTTTTTTTTTTTTTGCCACTTCTGAGGCTTGAACTCAGGTCTGGGCACTGTCCCTGAGCTTTTTTTGCTCAGGACTAGCACTCTACCACTTGAGCCACAGCACCACTTCTGGCTTTTTCTGTTTATGTGATACCTAGGAATTGAACCCAAGGGTTCTTGCATGCTAGACAAGCACTATACCACTAAGCCACATTCCCAGCCCATGCATGGACTTTTTAAAGAAAAGTTTCAGTGTTTTCAAAATTACAAAACATTTTCTTCATGATAAAAATGGATTTTAATAGCAAAAAATCAAATCAATATATTTTACTGCAATGGACCACTCATGCTGGTCTTAGACCTAAAGTCCTTTGTTTTCGCTTGCAATTTAAAAAACACCTGTGTTTAACGTGCAGTTTCTAGAGGGTCTTTTCAGAATCAGTAGCTTGTAGCAGCCTGTGAGAATGCAAGTCCTGTTCTGCAGGTCCTGGGTGGAGGCCAGGATTTCCCCTCCTTAACCTTAGGTGGTGTAGGTTTGTGCTATACTTGTGGGTTGCAAAACAGTTAGAACTTACTTATTTCAGTATTTTCCCTGTTGAACAAATGCTTCTCTTTCCTCCATTTCTTTACATTTTAGGGGGATTTTCGTGGAGGGTCTCTCCTGTGTCCTCGATGGCATATTTGGTACTGGGAATGGCTCTACTTCATCCAGTCCCAACATTGGAGTTTTGGGAATTACGAAGGTACAGATATCTTCATAATTAATGAGTTGGGTGTTTGTCTATTTCCATTGATCAGTCCAAGACAGGATGGACCTGCCCATAGTCCTCCCTCCTGCTGGTTTTCCCTTCAATGAGTTTGTGGGGTGCCTGTTTGGAAGTTCTCCTCCCTGGGCTGGTCATAAGGAAGGCACTCCGGTGCTCTTACTGCTTCTTGCAGTCCTCAGATGTTGATGGGAGCACCCATAGGTGTGGTCTAATGGGTCATTGAGGACCAGCTCATGCAGGCCTTCTTAGGGGTCCACAGACACTGAGTAGAAGAGGACTGCAGGAAGCAACCAGATGTGACTTATTTGTTTGTGTGTGTGTGTCGATTGTGGGGCTTGAACTCTGGGCATGAATGCTGTCCCTCAGTTCTTCAGCTCAAGGTTAGCGCTCTACCACTTGAACTGCAGTGCCACTTTGGCTTTTTCTGTTTATGTGGTACTGAGGAATTGAACCCAGGGCCTCATGCATGTGAGGCAAGTACTCTACCACTGAGCCACCTTCCCAGCCCCGAGATGTGACTTTTTAAGGGTCACTTTGGCTGCTGTGAAGGGAGTAGACAGTGGGGGCGGATAGAAGTGGGCCAGTTTGGGGGTGTCAGCAGTTAAAGATGATGCCCTTATTATAGAAAACTATCTCACATAAAAAGCCTCCACGGGGACACTGGGCTTTGACACTGTAAGACACTGATTGATTCAGGACTTGAGTCTGAGTCCCACCCCACCCTCACCCAGACGCTGCCACTGCCCACCTCTAAATCAACTTCCTGAAGAAGGCTGCTCTAGGGTCTTTCAACTTTATAACAGGCAATTAAACTTTACATCCCAGTTGCCTTAGGCCAAAGAGCGCTATTTGTCAGGAATAGCTCTACCGGTGAGAGGCCTTTGGATGTTGTGTAATTGGAGATTCTTAAAACTGGTTCCCCATCCATCCTAAAAGGACTGTGTAAGTCAAGGCCTCCTCACCTGAGAACTCCAGGTGAACCCCGGAAGACTTCTAGACCTGTTTGACCTCTGTAACATTAGATGGGGTTGGGGATGAATTTCCAGAGAAATTTTCCCTCCAGCTCTGTCCAGAATTCTATAACCAGATGGCAAGAAACCTAACACTAAATTTGATTAATCTGGATTACAGATGCAGGTGAGAGAAGCAGCACATGATATAGGGTTCGTTCCTGACTTGTTCGTTGGTTTTTTCCCCCCTAAGTTGGCAGAGCCAGGCCAGAGCTCATGAGGCCTCATGTGTGCCAATGGCCCCACCTGCTGCCTGCTATACCCAGTGCATGGCATGGGAGGGAAAGGTTGCATGCGGGGCGCTTTCTCTAGTACCATTCCTGGGTCCTGTTGCTGCCCATGGTAAGAATTAGGTGTGGAGCCTTTGAAGCCCAGGAATGCTCTTAACAAGGTACAATGGACCATCCCTGAATTAGAATAGAGTAGAATCCTGCTGTTCCAGTTCTTGATCCAGGCTGTCTAAAACAGTAGTCTGTAGCCACATGTGGCTGCTTTGAGCCTGTAGGTACGTAACTGGTCCCAAATAGTCATATTATGAAGGTTGGTAGAGAGGGACTCTTCAGGGGAGTCAGTTTAATAAGCCTTCTCTCTTTGTGTGCCCCTTTAAAACAAACCACATTACTAAGCCAAGGTCACTGAAGGGAGTGAGCAAAGTTGTTTTGTTTTTTTTTTTAAACAAGTGACCCAGGTGGTTTGGGGGATAATTGTCTTTATTAAAATTTGGATGGCACTAGCTTAAGGCACCCTGCCAGCACTTTTTAATGAGCTAATTGGTATTTAGCTGAATCCCTGTGGACCTAGCCATCGAAGCCACTTCCCCCGGCAAAGAGACAACATCTATCCAGTCAAGGGCAGAAAGTCAGGCCAGTAATCAGGTTTGCATTCTGGTCAGTCACAAGTCATGATCCTTGGGGAAAGGGTTATAGTCACAGCCAGTCCATCTGCATTTGCCTGGAAGCAGTGAAATGGGACATGGAGCATAAATGTCTGTGTGACCCATCTGCCACTCCTCCACTGAAGGACTTGGGACAAAGCCACGTTTCTGAGCAGAACTCTGAAATCCTGTGGCTCCAGATCGAGATCCATGTTGGACGGTATAAGGGTCAATAGCCTGATATGTATATTGAAATAAAATACTCATTCTCTGAGTGGCACTAGCCTTGGGTCAAGGCTTAGCGCCTCACCTGGCTTGATGGCTGCCAGTGGACAGCGCAGCAAAACAAAACGCTTCCATTGTCTAATGTGCCCTGTAGACAGCACTGGGCTGAGCCATCAAGCCAGATTCCATATCAGAGAAAAGGTCTGCATCTCTCCCCCAAGTTCTGCTTCCATTTCCCAGCAACTCCATTACTTATAGTCGTTCATCCAGTTAATAATGCATTCCAGGTACATGGAATTGCTAACTTATTTTCTCCAGAATTGGAGTTTCCTACCCAGACCCCACTGCCAAGTACAGCCTACTGTTTATTAGAAAGGAGCCATGTGACATGGTAGGAGGTGACTGCTTTGGATCCCAGCCCTGGTTCCTCTCTCAGTGTGTCTATGGGCAAGTTATATCACTCCTAGTCTTCGGGTCCTATGTGTCTTGTAAGGTATTACAGTGAATCACTTGATATAGAGCACTTACCAGGCCTTCCCAGCAGGTAGCAAGTACCTGATAGGCAATGGTATGATCATTGGAGATGTTTGGCCCTAGGTTTATCTCTAGGAACAGAGTGAATAGTCTCCTTGGACATAGTATCTCTTGGTGGTATCCAGGGCCACTGCTCTCTGCCATATTCCATACTGCTGGAATACTTGGGACGTCAGAACACTGGGATGTCCTCTATAGACATATAGCAGTACATGGGCAGAGCTTCCACTCTTCTGGAAGGAAGTCAGAAGGAGGTGTGAAGAGGCCAGAGGATGGCCGGCATAAGAAGAGACACAAACTCCTGGGAAGGGCACTCTTGGAGGGCAGGAATTTTAGTACCGTGTGTTTGGTATTTAAGAAGAGGAAATGTACATGGACACTCAAGTAATATTCATTGAGCAGCAGAGTGGCTTAGTTGCTGCCTGGCTTTTGACAGTGTGGAAAGTCTTCTGTTGTGGTTTTCACATAAATTTCCTCTTGTCAGGGCTGCCCAGCCCTACTAGAAATCTTCATACAAGCTGTTCCCTCTGCCTGGAAGCTCTTCTTCCACTGAACTCTTAGCCCTCAAGGCCATCTCCGCCACTCTCTCTAACTCACATTTTTTTCCCTATACCTCTGGGTACCCACACAGCAGAATAATGTTTGATTACAAGCTTGTGATTTATCCATCTTTGGATCCACCTCTGCCTAACACGTGCTAGTTCGGTAATCCTCTAAGGTGTCTACTGAGAAAGGAGCCATTTGGAAATGAAAGACTTCTTTGTCATGTAATTTCAGCAAGCACAATTCATTTCTGCTTAATCCAACTGTTTGTATCATCCTTCCTGCTACTTGCCTGCCCTGCTTTTCTGGGTTGAGACACTGGAGGCTAGAAGCAGACTGTGACCAAATCCAGCTGGTCAACTAGCTCTTCACTCATACAGTAAAAGGTTAGGCCCTGTTGCTCACGTAGCTGTCTTGAGAACCTTGGAGAAACTTCATTGGAAGCTTCAGACCCATCTGAATCACACAGTTACACCACTAGCCAGGAGAACCCAGATTACACTGTAAACTTCGGCATTTGCCCTGGGGCCTGGACCTGGAGCTGGAGGATGGCAGGAGAGCTAAGGAGCACTTGGAATGTGTGACCCATGCTTGGGAGGAATTGAATTTGAAATTTCCCTTCTTTTTTAATCAACTTAAACTTAAGTTAGCCATCTTGTCCTTACTATAAGTCCACATAGTCTCATGGACATGCCTCCAGACATTATTTTAGTCCAGGCAGAAAAAGTACACGCCAACAGTGAAAAATTCTTGAACCAGATACCAGTTTTACTTCCTGCTATCTGGGTGACCTCAGGCTAGAAGCTTCTAGAAAGCAGAAGTTATATTATTAGACTGCCAGAAGACCATGCAGACATCCAGGTACAAAGAACAAAGAAAAGGTTTATTCCAGTAAAGGCACTGGCAAGACCCCTTCTCACAAGAGAGAAGTGAGAGGAAGTGTCAGCTATTGTTTCAGGTGACTTTTATAACCTCCGAGATTTGGGAACTCTTAATATCTTACATGGTTATAGCTGCCCCAAACGCGTGCCCTCTCTGGTGACCATATGACTTGAGATTTAGGGGATCTTGCTGCCTTATATGGTTATAGCTATCCCAAAGGAGAGCTCTCTCAGGTAAAAGGGGGTAGGGGCTAATCATTTGCTGACTTTACTAAATGGGCCTAGTGTTGCCTAGGGAAAGAGCATGCTAAGTCATGAGGGAGGAGGCTTCTGGGCTAATAGTTTAGGTCTCAACACAACAGGACAAGGACACACACAGAGATGCTCACTAGCACGCATGGCTTCAGTATGTTTAGAAAGTCCACTCCACGCTGGGCGCCGGTGGCTCACACCTGTAATCCTAGCAACTCAGGAGGCTCAGATCTGAGGATCACGGTTCAAAGCCAGCCCAGGCAGGAAAGTCCGTGAGATTCTTACCTCCAATAAAGTACTAGAAAACTGGAAGTGGCACTGTGGCTCCAGTGGTAGAGCATTCGTCTTGAGCGAAAGAGCGCAGGGACAGCGCCCAAGCCCAGAGTTTAAGCTCCACGGCTGACAAAAAAAGAAAGAAAGAAAGTCCCCTCCATCCATGACAGTGAGAAGAGGAAGCTCAGATGGACAGCCTCAAATACCTGTGCTGGCCAGCCACCATCGAGACCACTTTAGGTATGTCAAGCAAGACCATGAGGTTTATCCAGAAGATCTGAGCCAGGGAGGCTGACTTGCCTGGTCATATGTCAGAGGTGGAGTGGGTGCCATAAACCAGTGACACAGCTTAACACCTCTATAATCGTTGGCCCCTCCCCTGCACAGCACCACCTCTCACAAATAAGACATACCATGAGGAAAGATGGCCCCAGAAGTGTTGGGAGGGAAGAGGGAAGGTGTCTGACAGTGGGAAATGCAGGGGGGGAGGGGCCATAGAGTTGGGCCAAAGGCTCTGGAGGGTTGATTTGGTAAAGCGTGATATATGGAACCCCGAAGAGAAGTAAGTAAGCAAGCGAGCATCTGAGCTCCCAGGAGGTCATCCCAGCCAATGGCCTTGTCACCCCAGCACAGGTGACATAATTAGGGCATGGAAAAACAAAGCCCATCACCGACCCCTGGTCTATGAGGTCACCCACCCACAGACAAGACACAAATAGATAGCTAAGATGTTGGGAAGGGAAAGGAAGGAGGGTGAGAGAGAGATCTGCTTGGCTCATGTGGATAGTAATTTACAGTCATCCTATATTGAGATCAGTCACTGTGAACAGGTTATAGAGTGAGGTGGGTTCTGCCAGAGCACGCCCTATTTGTCCTGGGATGTTGGGCTGGAAGGATGGCAAGTGAACTGGCATTCGTCTCTGGTGTATCCACAGGTGGGCAGCCGCCGAGTGATCCAGTATGGTGCAGCGCTCATGCTTGGCCTGGGTATGATTGGCAAGTTCAGTGCCCTGTTTGCATCCCTCCCAGACCCTGTTCTCGGAGCCCTCTTCTGCACCCTCTTTGGTAAGTAGGATCCCACCTCTGGTAGCCAGCTTCCCTCTCAGATGCCTTTCTTCACATTGGCTAATTCTTAATGAAAATCATGGTATTTTATTTATTTTGTATTTTTTGCTAATTCTCTTCAATAAGATTAAGGTTAGTAATTTCTGTTTTAAAGTATAAAAGGTTATGTCAGCATTACTCTCCTGAATTGAATTTATGTTAAAGGTAAAACCTGCAATAAGAAAATTGTACCACAAATATGAAGATAATAGTCTCTTTAATTAGTTTCTAATTGATTGAACTCACCTGTCTTTTTCTGTGAATGGGATATTTAAACTTGACCATTATCACAGTGGAACTGTGGATTGATCTCTGAGCTGTTCACTTATAGCCATCAGGGTCATGCATCAGATATTCAGTGGGTTTCCCCATTTACTTGGAAGAGGAGCCACTGCTCTTTGCCATCCTTAAATCTAGAGAAGATGTGCATGGTGCTTTGCCCAGGTCATTTGAGTAGAGGCAAAGTGCTTACATTCCAGCAGCTCCACACTTCTCTTCCTGTCACTGTCTGCACTTGGCTCCTAGCTGCTTCTGATGGTGGAGAAAGGAAAGAAGTAACCTGTTCCCATGTGGCCCATAAATCCATGAAATGTGACCTCATGTTTTTCTCCCCAGGAATGATCACAGCCGTTGGCCTCTCCAATCTACAGTTCATCGACTTGAATTCTTCCCGGAACCTCTTTGTGCTTGGATTTTCAATCTTCTTTGGACTCGTCCTTCCAAGTTACCTCAGACAGAATCCTTTAGTCACAGGTAAGGAAAGCAGGCCTTGAATCTGGGGTCTGGGGTTGGAACCACAGCCAGGAGTCACAAGCAGCTCATTCCCAGTGCGAGAGGGCCTGAGGCACTTGTGTAACTGAACCTTGTCTGCCTCTCTTCTGAATCTCACTCTAGCATCTTCTCTGAAGCCCCATGGGCCTTCCCCATTGGCTGTCTCTATACAGGGCTGATTTGGGTGTCATGGTCTCTTTGATTACTGGAACTACTATATTACGATGTATAATTTGCTAATCATGGAACTAAAGGCAGGAGGATCGTGAGTTCAGGCAAGTCTACGCTATGTAAGTGAGACTCTGTGTCAAGAAACAAACAACAAAATAAGTATAATTTCTTAAAATCAACTTTACAGACTTTAAAATATGTATTTTTCTACTAGGATTATAGCTACTTTCAAGCCCTATTGGGTTGGCTCCTACTTTGTTTTTGAAAGGTCGAATTTTGGAGTCTTTATTGTAGTACTAGCGGTCTGCAGGCAGGCCAAGTACAAAGACCTGAAGCCCAGAACAGAGCTTGCACCAAGGCTCCTACTTTTTATTTTAGTAAATACATAATGAAGACTGACAGAGAAGGAACCATATTAAATATCTATCGTGACTGATATTTTATTATTACAAATGAACAATTGAGGACTTTTTAGGGAATAGTTCCGGGTTAATCCTCTTGTTTCCATTTCCTGAGATCATTTCCATAAATACTCTATGATCACATAGGCATTGCACCGTGAGTTCCTCCCCTAAGAGTATCCTCCTTTGGTAGTTAAAGGGGTTTTGAACTCAAGGCCTTGTATTTGCTAGGCAAGTAAGTGCTCTACTGCTTGAGCCCTTTTGCCCTAGTTATTTTTCAGATAAGATATCATGCTTCCCACCCAGCAATCCTTGAACTTCCTTTCTTCCGATTTGTGTTCCACACATAGCTGAGATTATAGTTATAAACCACCTTGTTTATTGGTATGGGGGTCTCATTAACTTTTTTGCCCAATCTTAACCTTGAACTGTAATCCTATGGATTAACTCTCAAGTAGCTGGGATTATAGGCCCCTATACCCACCTGAGGTCCCAGGATTTAAACTGAGGACCTTCTGCTTGCTAGGCAGATGCTTTACCACTTGAACCTTCAGCTTTATTCTTCACATATTTTTCCAAGTGAAATTCACATATAAAATTATCATTTTACAGTGGCTTTTTACTCCTTTCACAATTTAATGTGACCATTACTCCTATCTAATTTCCAAAATTTGCCAGCACTCCAAAAGAAAACTTGATGTTCCTGTTATCCACAAGGTTTCCCGTCCCTACAGACTTTCCTGTTCTAGACATTTCATATAAATGGAATCATAGAATATATGACCTCTCTGTGCCTGTGTGTTTTCTGTTAAGGTTTTTGAGACTCATCCATGCTATAGCATATTTAAGAATCCTTTCTTCATGGCTAAATTTTGTACATGTGTGTGTGTGTGTGTGGGTGTGTATACACACATGTTTGTACCATGTTTTTATCCAGTCATCCGTTATGAGCTGTACTCTATTTTGACTGTTGTGGCATTGTCTGAAGCAGAATAAGCAAATTATGGATCATTGCTTCTAGGAGGAAATAGGACCAGCAGTACTGTAATCAGGCCTGAGTGAATCTTGTCTTAACACCCACCCACCAGCCTTCCTGCGCTTAGAAATGCCAGACAGCACTGCAGCACACGTGGGGCCATTTTTAACAACACAGCCACCAAGGAAAAGCACACAGTGTGAAAGACACATTTATAAGTAGACTCCACAAAGGACACTTACAGTGGGAGAGCTAAAAGGAGAAGGCAGAGGTCCTTGTTTGACTTCATGTGGGAGTTTGCATGCTGGGTGGCTCAAGCCTTTCCCTGTTGGTGCATGCCTATGAATGGTGTGGATGGGTACCTAGAATATACATTGTGGTTAGAGGTTAGAGCCCCTCACATATGCAGAATCTGTTAGTGATAAGCATAGACATTATTTGCTTGGGACCTTTTTAAAATTCTCAGCACATGCGAGCAGTGGAATTGCTGGGTCACGTGGTCATTCTAGGTTTAGGGTTTGGGGGAACTGCCAAGCTTTTCAATGGTAGCTGTACCATTTCCAATCCAGTCAACTTCTGTCTCCACATCCTCTCTAGCACATTCCATTTTCTAAGTGCAGAAAGTGTTGCAAACTTCCTAATATCAGAGGAAAGAGGCTTACATGCAACTTTTTGTTTTTCTGTTTCTTTTTTGTGCCAGTACTACAGCTTGAATTTGTGGCCAGAACACTGTCCCTTAATATTATAGACTCAAGGCTAGAGCTCTGTTTGAGACTCACCTTGTTTTGTTCTGTTTTTGTCAGGCCTGGGGTTTGAACTCAGGATCTGTACACTGTTCCTGAGCTTCTCTTTGCTCAAGGCTACACTCTACTACTTGAGTCATTGCGCCACTTTTGGCTTTCTCTGAGTAGTTTATTGGAAATAAGAGTCTCACAGACTTTTCTGCCTGGGCTGGCTTTGAACCATGATCCTCAGATCGCTGTCTCCTGAGGAGTAGGTAGGATTCCAGGTGTGAGCCATTAGCACCCAGCTAGCCTTTTTTTCCATTTTAGTACATCACATGGGAGGATGTCTTCATAAGTCCAATTGCTTCTGATTAAAAGCAACAAGGTTCTAATTAGCAATCCAGGATTCTGAAAATGCTTGTTAGCACATCATGTTTCTGTTTGTTGTCTTGTTCATTTTGTAAGATTTTTTTTTAAAGCCTTATAACAGCTTTCTTTAATTTTTGAATAACTTTATATCTGTAGACCTTCCTCCTCAGTATTTTCATAGATCATCATAGGGTGAATGAGCTTACACACATAGCACTGACTGTCACAGTCATGCCTGATAACATGTCCCCTGTCAAAATCGGGGACAGGCCTGGCGACAGTAATGACTCATAGTGATCCTGCTCTTGTTTCCAGGCATCACAGGAATTGATCAAGTGTTGAATGTCCTTCTTACAACTGCAATGTTCGTAGGAGGCTGCGTAGCCTTCATTTTGGACAACACCATCCCAGGTATGTGGTCTATATTAGCCATGCTTGTTAGGTGCGAGTTACTTTATGTTGACAGATTAAAAAACGAGATGCAGAGCTGGGTGCAGTAATCCATACTTATAGTCCCAGCTACTTATGAGAAGGACCTCTTAAGCCCAGCTGGACAACGTAGGGAGAAGGAGAAGGGAAAGGAAAAGAAAAGCAGGAAGAATAAATCGGTTTGAAGCCATCAGTGATGAAAACTGTCTTGTAAAAAACGTGGTTTTTGTTAATAAGCTGGTTCCCGGGGCTGGGAAGGTGGCTCAGTGGTAGAGCGCATGCCTTGCATGCCAGAGGTCCTGGGTTCAATTCCTCAGCACCACATAAGCAAAAAGAAAAAAAAAAAAAAAAATAAGCTGGTTCCCTTGGGTTCCTCTCTGGTGAGATAGCAGTGACTGTCTCTGGGCTCCTTCTCCCCAGTTAGCCTTGCTCAGTCCCTACAGTGTGGCTTCCTGGACTTACTCACACAGTCCTGAGCTACTGGTCACAGCCTTTGGTATTTTCCTCTGGGAGCCCTGGTCTTCCAATGAGTTATTCCCAAGCTGAGCTTCCAGCTGACAAACCAGAGGATAGTGGGCAGAGGCTGAGATCAGCAAGGCCAAGATCAGTGATAGGAGATGGGTCAGATGGGGAGGTGAAGATGCAGTCCAGCATCTGTCAGCCTCATTGATGGGTGCACGCCATGCTGTGCTAGGTGAAGGACTAGGCTGGAGTGTGGCCCCACCTTGAAGTCCTCCAAGCTGCTGTGTGTCTCAGCACAGATAGCAAAGCCTTCAAGAAGGGGTGGTAGCCGGGCACTGGTGGCTCATGCCTGTAATCCTAGCTACACAGGAGGCTGAGATCTGAGGATCGAGGTTCAAAGGCAGCCCAGGCAGGAAAGACCGTGAGACTCTTATCTCAATAAACCACTTGAAAACTGGAAGTGGCACTGTGGCTCAAGCGGTAGAGCGCTCACCTTGAACTGAAGAGCATAAGGACAGTGCCCAAGCCCAGAGTTCAAGCCCCATGACTGACCAAAAAAAAAAAAAAAAAAGAAGGGGTGGTGTAATTCCTTCTGCCTGATGTGTCTTTCTCCAGCATTGTGGTTGAGGCATTTTCTTTTTGGAAGTGGCTTTGTTTTAAAGGACAAATCTTCATAAGCCAAGTGCAGTAAGTAGTACAAGCCTATAATCTCAGCACTTAGGAGGCAGAGGCAGGAGAATCAAGTTCAGTGGTGGTCTGGCTACACAGTATCATCTTGTCTCAAAAAATCAAGAACAAGAACATCTGCTCTTCTGCCTGCAGACTGATGAGCCAAGCACCCGAAGGTCAAGTGTGTGCAGTGACAGGCTGGTGAAGGCCATAATAAAAGCTGGGCCTGTTTCACAAGTTCAAATTTGATGGACTTGGGGGTGGGGGTTGGGGTTTTCTTGCACCCTATTTGAGGGACACATTTGTTAAATAGAATGCTCAACAGCCAGTTAGGAGAGTAATGTGGTGACTCAGGAAGGTAGTAATAATGGCCTGGGCCTGACCTTGAGGGTCACATATTACGGGTCTCCTAGAAGGTCAGGGAGGATGGGAAGTCATCCAGAAACAACTTGGATGGGGAGGGGAACAGGAGGGGTGGAGGAATCTCCAGCTTCTAGTCTGAGCACTTAGAGAGTTTCTCAGGTGTTCCTTGTCATCCTGCAGAGAGGGTAAGGATGTGTAGTGTATGTGCACAGAGGGTGCGTGTGTATATGCACAGAGAATAAGGGTCTTATTCCTCTTAGAAAACTGTTAAAATAAACATTTCTTTGTTTTGGATGTTGTGTGACAGGTACCCCGGAAGAAAGAGGAATACGGAAATGGAAGAAGGGCGTGGGCAAAGGGAACAAGTCTCTTGATGGCATGGAATCCTACAACTTGCCATTTGGCATGAACATTATTAAAAAATACAGATGCTTCAGCTACCTACCTATCAGCCCAACCTTTTTAGGCTACACATGGAAAGGCTTCGGAAAGGGTGAGACCAGCCGGAGTTCAGACGAAGACTCCCAGGCCACCGTATAGCCTTAGCTGTGCCCTGTGGCTCAGCCACAGTGAGGCATGTATCTGTAGTCCCTTGCTGAGTAATGAGAAGTAAAATATCTGTTCGTATATCTCCATTTACATCCTGCACCCCAGAGCTAAAACAGGTTGCACATCCCTTTTCTGTTGTGGCTAGTGATTGTGTCTAAATATGGTGTCTCACTTGTTTTCCTTATTTAAGCCCTGATCCCTTGTCCTTTGACAGTGTCCATTGCTGGCCATGGTCACTGAACTTGAAGTCCTCTGGATCCTTCCTTTTCAGTCCCTTTCTATTACCCCGTGCTAGCGTTCCTGATAAGCCACCTCTGGGATCCAGGCCCACTTTCTCTTCGCTTAACCTCAGTCCATGTCTGCAGAGATCTCTGGCCAAGGGGCACAACTCCCTGATCTAGTGTGATTCTGTTGTTCCTGATTGTCCTATAAGGTCAGTGCAGATACTGTTGAATGGGGTTCTCTTTAGGGGATTGAAGAGTAAGGGAAAGGACCCAGAGCCAATAGGATTCTCCACTTCTTTCTCTCCCTGCCTCCCTGCCCCCTCTGGGCCAGCACATTCATATTGGCCTCTCTTAGTGGCTGAGATACCTTATTTGACCTTTCTCGCTACTGGCTGGTGTGACACACACACACACACACAGACACAGGCACCAGTCAGGTTCGTGTCGGTGTCTTGGTTCTGTTGTCATGTCATGTGCGTCTATAATTACAAGGTTTTATTCAAACTATTTAATGTTATTGACTATAGCAGATTTTTTCGAAATCAGTGTTTTTTTCCATGTGATCCTTTTCCCTTGTATCCCTATTACTTGTCCCCCAACTCCCCATCTCCCCCTTAAGAAAAGAACCAGCATTTGTAAAGCTGTGGACACCATCAGGGAAGTTTGTTGTATCGGCTCTTGAAGGCCAGTAAACCATTATTGTGGTTGTGTTTTGTATTGCTTGATACCATGAAAGTGTAAATACTGTAATGCCTAATCTATTTATCAAAACTGACTACTGGACCAGAGCCCAGAAACCATGGGTATCAAGTTACACATGAATGTGTTTTGTGAAGAAGGGAAGCTAGGACAAGTAACAAAATGGGGCTGCCATATTGAATGGCTCATCATCCTGGTAAAGTCATGTCTCCCATTCTTCTGTGGCAGAAGACATGGCAAAGAGACTCTCTGTAGGAGCCCGCTGGAGCTTGATTTCACCAACTACCTGCCTTTTCGGTTGTTGCAGAGGATAGTGAGAAAAACAGCTTGCGGGCACTCTATTTAGAGTCCTAACTTATAACACTAAATTCTTTCTGACAAAATGACTTCTCTTGAATTTGGTTCGAAACTTTGCCACCAAAGGAAAAGCCTGCTTCATAAGGCTGTGCCTCTTACCTGCTGGCTGACCTGGCTGATGGAGCATTGGGTGGCAGCAGGTGTTCCTGTCTCTCGCAGCAGGATGTGGGGTCTCAGGCCGCCTGATGTCACTGGGTGCTTTCCTGTCCCCAGGCTGCCTTTATTTCACATTGCCAGGTCGTTGGTGAGTCACTATGGTCCCCTTGACTCCTGAAGTCTTGGGCTTTAAGAACACCTCAGAGCCACTCCTGTTTTGCCAAAATTTTACTTCAGATTAAGTAAAGAACTTAGATTCTAAATTACACTTAATTTGTGTGTATTTTAAATGTATATTCAATGCACACTTACTTTAGAAGCACACTGGTTAATGGTTTCCAACCTTCTTACCTTGATAAGATCGATAGTTCTCCTGCAGCCCTGAATTGCTACTGTTTCCTTCTGTCTGCTCAGGATCTTCAGTTTCTCTGCTCTGAAAAAAACAGGGAAAACTGCTAAATGTCCCAGAGATTGGCAGGATTCTAGTTTTCTAAGGTGAGCAGAAGGAACACAGATATCCAAAGAAAAAGCATTAGAACTGCTGAGTATGGTGTTCTACACCTGTGACCTTAGCACTTAGGAAGCAAAAACAAGAGTATTAGGAGTTTGAGGCCACCCTGGGCTAATTAGCCAATTCTAGTTTGGCCTATGCTCTAAGACCCTGTCCCAACAAAACAAAACAAAAAGCATCAGTACTATTGATAATTTAGGCCCAACTTCCCTTCAACCTAATATGACCAGGCATCTTTCCTCCTGGGCGGTCTGTGTACCTAGAATGTGGGCCTCTGATTTCTAGAAAGCTTTTCCCTTTAGAATCCTTTTTTGGGGCGCCATATTTTATCATGAGGCTCCAATTCTGTTCATCTTGGGAAATGGCCTTGGCTAGCATCCGCATAAAGGAAGTCCTGCAATCCTTGGAAATAGTCCTCTCATTGGAAAAAGGGTTTTTGCCCTTCTTGCTCCTTTGGAATCAACTGTTGATATTCTATCCCAGGAGGAGGAAAGAGAAGGGAGGTGGGAGAAAAAAGAGCAGCCTGAGCATATGGACCTCACTGAATCTGGTCTCTTCTGTATAGCCTTGAGCAAATAGAGTTTCCTAACCAATGAATCTTGCATGTGCAACATTTACTCCCACAAGCCATCTTAGGAAGTCATCCTCACTCTACCAAGTATACTACCGAATGGAAGCCTATCATTGAACATAGAAGAATACTTGAGTCCAAGCACACACCTGACTGGGAGATCTTCTTCTGAGAGGAAGGGTTTGGTGGTCTGTACTTGATGCATTCCCTGTCCATATTGTTGGCTTGTGCCTTGCTTTGACAGGAGGCCATTATGAAATATTCCACATGTGAATGTGATTTTAGGACAACTCCATTTCTGTTTGTCAGTGACTACCTACCCACCATCTCCACCTTTCTTAGTCCCTAAGAAAGCCTTTGTGTTCACTAGGAAAATCAGAAAGTGTTAACAAGGGCAGGGGAATGGGGGGGGAGATACCACTGCAGGTTCAGAGTAATGGAAAATGGCTAAATGAGTTTCATTGGGAAATGAATGAAAAAACAAATGATTTTCAGTCTCCTTAGGAAATTCAAGTTAGCTTCATGAGTACATTTATTTCCAGAACCTTCCTTAAGAGGGGTTCCAGTGTTCACTTTTAGATTCTTAGGATTGATCCAAGCAAGAGAAGTGGCTTTTCCAGGCCAGCTAAAATAAAGCATCATGAGTCCCATGGTTTCCCATTTCGTGGTAACAAATTCACATGCAGGAATTGCTTTATATTGTAGAATACTGACTTTTATGATGACAACTTGGTTTATGCATGAATATTGCAGTATTTCCATATAGTAAAATAACATTTCTGCCCAGGATAATAGTCAGTTTTCCAGGGGGGGGAATGATATAATTTTCATGACAATGTCATGTGCTGATAGGATTTCTCCATTGATGAATCTCTAGTATGTGTGGATACTTTATTTACCCATATGTATATTTTATGATCGTGAGCTAAATTGTTAATTATTTCATTTGTGTCCATAGTCTGATATCAATACAAGTCTAGCCTTTAGTAATGAGTGCCACAAAAGTGGCCAGGCCAGACAGAAGATGAGTCAGGAGTGGTGGCCGAAGTCTCATCGCAGAACTTGTGTGGATGGAGGAGAGGCAGCATCCTGAAGGTGGCTATGCTTGGTCTATATTCTCAACCCCAAGCTTGGCATGGCTTGGAGTGAGGGCCTGTTCTCCCAGCTATCATTGCATGCCAGCTATGCATACCCAGCCACACGCACCGTACAGGTTCCTTTGCAGCTCCTGCACCTGAGCAATTTCAGAGCTCTGGTCCACAGAGAGCCTCCCTTTCTTCAGAGAAGAGGTTGGGCTTTCACAGGCTACTTGTCCTTCGGTCCCCTATTGCCTTAGGATGTGGACACAGAATAGGACATCCCCGCCCTCTACTCCTCTTGCAGTCAGAACCTCAGTAGTACAAGAAGGCTGCCTGTCTTTGCCAGTGTTCGCCTTCCACCCGTGGATCCCCAAAGTATATGAGCACTGAGGGTCTGTCCCTCTTGAGCAGCCTCATGAACATTCCCATCCTTCCTTTCAGGTTACTGTTGACTGTGCCTCGTCATGGCTTCGGTATCCCGCCACCTTCCCATTTCTGTATGTGTTTGCAGGCACTTAGGATGCCCTTGCCAGTGCCACTCTCTGACTTCACAGTTCATGAATACCCTTCTCTCTGTGTTCCTAACTTCCTTTGCTTTGACACATTAATACATTTCTGACTGTTCTTAAAACAGTGGAGATGCCTCTTTTTCTTGAGTTTTTGTGACTGACCCTGCCTATACACGTTCCTGGAGTTCTGTTTGTTTTTGTTTTTATTTTGTGTTCTGAGGGTTATTCGGGGGTAGGGTTGTTTTTTGAGATGTGTAATTCTTTTATGGAGTTTTTAAAAAGAATTTTCATATTGTTTTTTCTAACATGGCTTCATTAAACGTTTAAGTATTTTAAAAATAATGTAATATTTGGACCAGATGTTGTGAATAATAGTAGAGATAAAGCTATTTTATTCTGTATTTTTAAAACTGTTCCGTACAAATAAAAGCTCTCCTGGACACAGTTTTGTTGTTCACATGCCTCCTTCTTTGTCTGATCTCTAAGAAATGTGTAATTCATTACAAGTCATCACCTAGGGGAGGGAAATAAGCAAATAAGAAATTCAGTTAGCCAGACACGGGTGGCTCATGCCTATAATCCTAGCTACTCAGGAAGCTGAGAGCTGAGGATCGTGATTGGAAGCCAGCCAGGGCAGATAGGTCCCCTTGAGACTCTTACCTCCAATGACCCACTTTAAAAATGGCTCAAGTGGTAGAGCATTAGCCCTGAGCACAAATTGGCTCAAGGACAGCACTTAGGCCCTGAGTTCAAGCCCCACAATGGGCCAAAAAAAAAAAAAATCAGTTGAACAAGTTCACAGGCATTTTTATCAGGTATTGAAGATATGAACGTGAAAGCTGGGGTGGAGAGCATAGTGAGCATTCTTCTGAGAACCCGCTATCTCAAGTGTTTGGGAGGTTTTCCTAGCAATTATCTAAATCACAAACCTCTTGATCACTTTAGTACAGTTATTTTTTAAAGATTTGTGAGATTTTTTTTCCAGTATAATTTGTTATTAAGGTGTTATACAGAAGAGTTGGCATTTTACAATTTAGGTAATGTATATGAAATTTTATTACGTGTGTGTGTGTGTGTGTGTGTGTGTGTGTGTGTGTGTGTGTACACGGGTGCCAGGCCAATCCTGGGGCCTGAACTAAAGGCTTGAGCACTGTTGCTGAGCTTTTTTGCTCAAGGCTAACTAGCAGGATCGCGTGAGCCACAGTACTACTTCCAGTTTGTTTAGGTGGATAATTGTAGCTAAGAGTCTCTAGACTTCCCTACCAGGTTGGCTTCAAACTGTGATCCTCAGATCTCAGTCTCCTGAGCAGCTAAGAATACAGGTGTGAATTACCAGCACCAGGTTTATTACATTTTCATTAGTGCCTATTAGTTATACAAAGAGGTCTCCTTAGATACATGTATACCAATGTACTGTGATCAGATTCACTCCTCTATTACTTTCTCATTACTCTTCCTTTTTTATTGTTTTTTGTTTGTTTGTTTTGTACCAGTCCTGGGGCTTGAACTTGGCCTTGGGCATTGTCCCTTAGGCTTTTTTGCTCAAGGCTAGGGCTCTACTACTTGAGTCATAGCTCCATTTCCAGCTTTTTTTTCTTTTTTTTCTTTTTGTGGTTAATTGGAGAGACGAGTCTGTCGGACTTTTCCTATCCAGGCTGGCTTCCAAATGTCATCCTCAGATTTCAGCCTTCTGAGTAGCTAAGATTACTGGTGTGAGCCACTGGCCATGGCTACTCTTCCTCTTTTTATAAATCATTATTGTAGTTCCCTTCAGTACAGTTTAAGATACTGTTTTTTTGGTCACTTTCAGACATAATACAACATAAAGAGAATAGCATGTGACCATCCTCTCTAGTTTAACATGATGGAGCCATGGCCAGTCATTTCAAATCCATTACCCTACTTTCCTTCCCTGTTGTTTGGGAGTAAAGCCCAGAAACACTACTTTATCTACAGGTATTTCAGTAGTTAGAACTAAAAGATAGTCCTTTAAAAAAAAAAAAAAAAGAGGGGCTGGGGGTTTAGCCCAGCGGAAGGGCGCCCGCCCAGCACGCACAAGGCCCTAGGTTTGGGCCTCAGCCCTGGGGAAAAAAAAAAAATAGCCCAATACAATGAATAAAACTACCAGTAGTTTTCACAAGTCAAACATCTGGCCAGATAGTCATCTGATAAATTTTGAAATAGAATCCACACAAGGTCTCCATTTTGCCATTGGCAATAACTATCTTCTCTTATGTTTCTGGGTCTCTCCTGCTTTCTGTCTTGCAGCTTACTTGTTGCCCAAGGGGCTCAGAACTTTGAGAGAGCCACGCAGACACAGCAGACATATTCCCAGAACTTGATGAGCACCTGGGATATATGTGGGTGGTAGCTCAGCCTCCTCCACAAATGAGACCCAGCTGCGTACATACATGTGGTTCAGTGGATAGGGTGATGGGCAAGAGGTGTGGCTACATTCAGTGCCAGATGTTGAAGGAATGAAGCAGAAAGAAACCATTACTATTTTAAGATTCTCCTCCTCCCTCCCCCCCAATCCTTCCACTGTCCCTGAGTTCTTCAGCTCAAGGCTAGCACTTACTGCTTGAGCCACAGCGCCACTTCCAGTTTTCTGGAGGTTAATTGGAGATACAAGTATCACAGATTTTCCTGCCTGGGCTGAACCTTCAGATCTCAGCCTCCTGAGTAGCTAGGATTACAGGCATGAGCGACCAGTACCCATCTTCTGTTGTTTTGAGACTTTGAAACTATTGTATTTATTGTGACAAATCAATACAAACATGTGCAAAGTGAAATAGATACGTATATAATTTGTTAATTTAATTTATATTTTTGGTGCTAGTCCTGAGGCTTGAACTCAGTACCTGGGTGCTATCCCTGAGCCTCTTTTGCTCAAGAATAGCTCTACTGGGCTGGGAAGGTGGATCAGTGGTAGAGCGCTTGCCTTGCATGCCTGAGGCCCTGGGTTTGATTCCTCAGCACCACATAAGCAAAAAGAAAAAAAGCCGGAAGTGACGCTGTAGCTCAAGTGGTAGAGCGCTAGCCTTGAGCTGAAGAGCTGAGGGACAGCGCCCAGGCCCAGAGTTCAGGCCCCACGACCGGACCCAAAAAAAAAAGAATAGCTCTACTGCTATTTCATCTGCAGCTCTATGTTCAGCTTTTATACCCTTATTGTATGTACTCTTATCTCCAATAAGAGAGACTTTCCTGCCTGGATTAACAACCACAATCCTCAGATCTCAGCCTCCCAAGTAGTTAGGATTACAGGTATAAAAAGTACTCTTCTTCTCCCCAAATCACTCTACCCTGCAGTACCCATTACTTCCACTTGATGGGTCCTTTCACAGTGCTCTTGATCAGCAAAGGGACCATCCTAAGTGACATAGACGAGTTATTCCTGCCTATTTGTTTTTACTGAAGCAAAGGAGTAGCATAAGCAGTTGCGTTTGGAAGGTGGGAGCAGGTGCCAGGCATTTCTGAGGCTGCAATTGTCCCCATCCCTCATCTGCTACATGGCGTTGCCAGCACGAGCCCCGTCAGGCTGCCCAGCTCTCCTCTGTGTAAGAGCCACACTCAGTTCTCAGATGTGTGCACTGGCATCTCCCATGAGTCACTGCAGATGAGTGAAAGACACACAGGTTCTAGTGTGTCCCAGGTTCCCATTTACCCTTGTTTTCCACCTACCCTCCCCTGAGCTTTACATCTGCCTTTGCATCCCAGGCTCCCAGGTCCTCCCATAGGTTTATCACGTCTTTCCCCTAGGCATTTTTTTTTCTCCCTTGAACTCCCAATGATCTTCCTGCAGATGGGTAATTACATTCTCTGGAGAGTCATTTCAAGACCTTCCATCCATTCCATCCCTGCTAGCCAGGCTCTGGGGAGGAAGAGGTTAAGTTTGTTGGAAGAGCTGGACAGCTCAGGCCTGTTCTCAATCAGGGCGCAGCAGGAAGGCGTGGGGAAGTCTCCATAGCGAAGTGGTTCGGTAGAGCGTGGGAGAGAACATACTGATCATTCATCTCTGTGCATGCATGGAGGAGGAGGGCTGGTGGGCTCTGGGCAGGGGACAAGAGGCAGTCAAAGTCTCCAAGCAAAGCCCTGTGAGTTGGATTTGTAACTGGAGAAATTTGGCCAGCGCTGTCTGAGGGTCAGCATCTCAGGACTGGCTGGAAGAGGCCCATGGGCCGTCCGGCTGGCTGTGTTGTCCTGCTCACCCCTCCTTGGCGTCTTCCTGAGGCCTCTTGGCCCAGGAAGCATGTGTGTCCTCCAAGAAACTTCTCCCAGCTGGCTCCTTTCAAACAGTTTTTGCAGCCTCTGTGAGAGGGAGGTGATGTCGGCTCCCCCCACCCCACCCCCCTGGCCCACACCCGCATCAGTCTTGCAGTTTGAACCACATTCACACATAGAGGAAGGTGCACAATGTCCTGATCACCACAGGAGGCAGGGGACTGGACTTGTTTCTTGGCTGGTTAAGTGGAACATAAAACATCTCTCATTCCCCCACCTTTTGTTCCCACCATGCTGTCTCTGCCTGATTTTGACTCCTATGAACTTGCTGCTCTCTCCGCTCAGAGCATTCTTCCCATTCCTACTAACCCAAAGACTCAAGCTAGGTGCCACTTCATCCCAAAGGTCACTTCCTGTACATCTCACCCTGTCTGTCTAGGGCTTCCAAGATGACACTGTACCACACTTAAAAAAAAAAAAAAAATACATCATCTCCAGTGTTTTTGTGTGTGTGTGTGTTTTTTCCTGATGTTGGTCCTGAAGCTTGAACTCACAGCCTTGTGCTCTCGATTGACCTTTTCTGTTCAAGTCTAGCACTCTACCACTTGAACCACAGCTCTACTTTTGGGGTTTTTTTTTTGTTGTTGGTGGTGAAATTGGAGGTAAAAGTCTCATGGACTTTTCTTCCTGGATTGGCTTTGAACCATGATCCTCAGATCACAGCTTCTGGAAGTTTGAGCCACTAATGCCCTGATTAACCTCCACTTTGAACCCTCATCCAGCGAATTAAAAAGAAGAAAAAGAAAAAAACCATGACGGGTAATTTCTGGCAAATGTGGTCATTGCAGGTGAAAATTCAGTTAATTCTGAAATTTTCCTTCTTACTTACTCTGCCCCCTAGATCTCATCTCCACTGAGGGATGGGTGGGCTTACGGAACATCTTGGCAGTTGAAGTGAGAAGGAGTATCTCTGGTCCTGGGTGTGTGGTGTGCTTGTCTTGTGGTCATTATCCTTCCATGCTGACTCTCCACAAGATGTCTGAGCGCCCCTCTGATCCCCAGCATGGCCTAGACATCATCTTTCCATGGATCCTCTTCTCCCAACTGTGAGATACTATTGGGTCCCTTGGCTTTTTCCACTTGGTGTCCATACTCTTGTGTGGTAGGGAAAGTTGGCTGCTCTCCCACAACTCTCTGAGGATGCCCAGGGTAGCCCCCTGCCTTGGGTACCAGA